GGGGCGTGTTAGAACGAGCCGTTTTAGGTACGCATGGCTGACTCTTAACTTTTATAAAGAATATCTCGTTGGATTTGAGACGATAGTCTTTGCAAATTTACAGATTTTCTTTATGCACCAAGAGCTTTTAACACTCCAAAGAGATTGGAAAAAATGAAATCGCATCATATGACCCCTTTAAGTCAAGTATTCTTTTAATATATATATATATATATATATATATATATATATATATGTGAATAAATGTCATATTTTATGAACCATACATTGTGTTGAAGTCATTTTTATTTGGTGCTGAAGAAATGTAAAATCTAAGTACTCAGTAATCTTACATATTAATGGACAGATTTAATCTGATTTAATTTTACATATGATGGTTGATGTGCTCAGATTATTACTTAAACAATAGATAAAAACAAGATGTGGTTTTTATAATAGTGATTAGGCGTCCATACAGATCATTTCCATGCTACTATCCTGGGTCACGAGTGTGCTGGATGATTACTGACGTACAGCAGGGTCATCATATTGGAGTAAAGAGGTTAGGGGAACGTTATAATAACGTTCTGGTAACCAAAAACTAGGGCTGCACGATAAATCGCATGCGATATTTAACGCGCATCTTATCAGTAAAGCCGGTTCTGTTGCGCAAAACCACATTCATATTCGCACAATTTTTTGCGCTGCTCGTCAGTGAACAACGGCTCTTTGTAGTTAATGCTGCTCAATGTGAAAGCACGCAGGTGATGGAGATTTACCGCTGATTACAGAACCGGCTTTACTGATAAGATGCGCGTTAAATATCGCAAAAACTAACGCTATGGGAATGTTAGATTAACGTTCTGGGAACCAAAAACTAACGTTAGATTAACGTTCCAAAAACTAACGTTAGGGGAACGTTAGATTAACGTTCTGGGAACCAAAAACTAACGTTATGGGAATGTTAGATTAACGTTCTGGGAACCAAAAACTAACGTTATGGGAATGTTAGATTAACCAACTGGGAACCAAAAACTAACGTTATGGGAATGTTAGATTAACGTTCTGGGAACCAAAAACTAACGTTATGGGAATGTTAGATTAACGTTCTGGGAACCAAAAACTAACGTTCCAGGAACGTTCTGGGAACCAAAAATTGTTAGCTGGGTATAGAGCAGGGGCGGCGGCGTTTCTGTATGGCAGAGTATGGCAGTTGCCATACCTTAGCCCAGTCAGGTGTGCCATGAAAATTTATCCAAATGTAATATCTCTTATTATATTTCCTTATTATTTAAAATTAGAGGGTTTTTACAAATATTTAACTAATAATAAAACTCCGTAACGCCATTGGATTCTCAAACTATTTGCCATCTAGTTGTAGCCAATATACTTTTTGTACATTTTAATTATCCTGTGCATATCGCGCTTCATCATTTATATCATGAGATTTTGGCCAAGTGTATTAAACAACAAGAAAAACTAAGCACCCATATAGCCACAATAAACGTCATATAACCTGTAAAAGTTGATGAAAGCATATAATGCGATGCACTTGCCGTTCTATTGACAGACAAAACACAGATCATTCGCTGACTTGTTAACTCCATTTGAGCTTGATTTTCATATAATGTTAAGTGCAAATGTCTGACACAATACCAACACACCAACACTAGTGTTTAAGTAAGCTTCGCGTCGGGGTCCTGATCACCCTGTCGGGGTTTATTCTGAGATAACAACCGCTTATTACACGGCTACTTGCCACATAAGTAAATAATTAGACGCGAAATATTGATTTGAGTTGAAATATTTCGAAATACTTCATAGCTTCCGTGAAGACAGCAGTTGCGAGCAAGCGGCAAATTCAAACTAGACGAACATTTAAGGGAAACGGTGCAGTCAAACCACTTATACACAACATTTCACCACAAAAATAATTAAAGGGGTCATATGATGCGATTTCAAGTTTTCCTTTCTCTTTGGAGTGTTACAAGCTGATTGTGCATAGATAAGATCCCTGACGTTGCAAAGACTAAAGTCTCAAAACCAAAGAGATATTCTTTATAAAAGTTAAGACTCTGCCACGCCCCCCTAAAACGGCTCGTTCTAACACGCCCCCACATATCTACCTCACTATGTGGAAATATTAGCATAATGCCGCCCAAATGTTCACGCAAAGAAAGACGGCGTGGTTTCAGTAACCGCAGTTAGTGTTGAAGCAGCATGACAGAGAGACGCTGTGTCTTTCAGATAAAATGTTTTTTAAATAAAGATGGCGGTGACGTTGAGATTCTCTTTCGTCCCCTGTAGGTGTGGAATGGGAGTTTCTCAGTGCAGACGGGCCTCCAGGTACCCATCATTGTGCTGAGCGGTCAGAAGCGAAACAGTAATACAAGCAGCTCTAATGCCAGCCTTACTTAAATCAAACTTCACTCTAGAACTGCTACACGTACGCACAGGTTTGGAGAACACCTGGCAACCCTTACACAAGCCTGGAGGCTCTTCCTATCATCAGTATGTCTTGCCAGCCCAAGGGGAGAGCTGCTCTAGATTCCTTTCCTCATTCCTTTTAGCTCACTGATCCGGATCCTGTGCCTTTCAGTGTCAACGTTATGGGAATGTTAGATTAACGTTCTGGGAACCAAAAACTAACGTTATGGGAATGTTAGATTAACGTTCTGGGAACCAAAAACTAACGTTCCAGGAACGTTCTGGGAACCAAAAATTGTTAGCTGGGTATAGAGCAGGGGCGGCGGCGTTTCTGTATGGCAGAGTATGGCAGTTGCCATACCTTAGCCCAGTCAGGTGTGCCATGAAAATTTATCCAAATGTAATATCTCTTATTATATTTCCTTATTATTTAAAATTAGAGGGTTTTTACAAATATTTAACTAATAATAAAACTCCGTAACGCCATTGGATTCTCAAACTATTTGCCATCTAGTTGTAGCCAATATACTTTTTGTACATTTTAATTATCCTGTGCATATCGCGCTTCATCATTTATATCATGAGATTTTGGCCAAGTGTATTAAACAACAAGAAAAACTAAGCACCCATATAGCCACAATAAACGTCATATAACCTGTAAAAGTTGATGAAAGCATATAATGCGATGCACTTGCCGTTCTATTGACAGACAAAACACAGATCTCCGTCATTCGCTGGTCAAAAAACTTGTTAACTCCATTTGAGCTTGATTTTCATATAATGTTAAGTGCAAATGTCTGACACAATACCAACACTGACGACGCAGTGTTTAAGTAAGCTTCGCGTCGGGGTCCTGATCACCCTGTCGGGGTTTATTCTGAGATAACAACCGCTTATTACACGGCTACTTGCCACATAAGTAAATAATTAGACGCGAAATATTGATTTGAGTTGAAATATTTCGAAATACTTCATAGCTTCCGTGAAGACAGCAGTTGCGAGCAAGCGGCAAATTCAAACTAGACGAACATTTAAGGGAAACGGTGCAGTCAAACCACTTATACACAACATTTCACCACAAAAATAATTAAAGGGGTCATATGATGCGATTTCAAGTTTTCCTTTCTCTTTGGAGTGTTACAAGCTGATTGTGCATAGATAAGATCCCTGACGTTGCAAAGACTAAAGTCTCAAAACCAAAGAGATATTCTTTATAAAAGTTAAGACTCTGCCACGCCCCCCTAAAACGGCTCGTTCTAACACGCCCCCACATATCTACCTCACTATGTGGAAATATTAGCATAATGCCGCCCAAATGTTCACGCAAAGAAAGACGGCGTGGTTTCAGTAACCGCAGTTAGTGTTGAAGCAGCATGACAGAGAGACGCTGTGTCTTTCAGATAAAATGTTTTTTAAATAAAGATGGCGGTGACGTTGAGATTCTCTTTCGTCCCCTGTAGGTGTGGAATGGGAGTTTCTCAGTGCAGACGGGCCTCCAGGTACCCATCATTGTGCTGAGCGGTCAGAAGCGAAACAGTAATACAAGCAGCTCTAATGCCAGCCTTACTTAAATCAAACTTCACTCTAGAACTGCTACACGTACGCACAGGTTTGGAGAACACCTGGCAACCCTTACACAAGCCTGGAGGCTCTTCCTATCATCAGTATGTCTTGCCAGCCCAAGGGGAGAGCTGCTCTAGATTCCTTTCCTCATTCCTTTTAGCTCACTGATCCGGATCCTGTGCCTTTCAGTGTCCTGAATTCAGACATGATGGGGTATTACTCTATTTCAACATGCAAAGAGCTTTAATAGCCTTGAGTTCATGTGTATATCACTAGGGCCAAAAGTTGCTTTTTTTTAGCATTTGTTCATTCGAATCACAGTATTTGAGCCACATTTGAACAGTTATTTCAATGCAACAGCAGCATGTTGGTGTTATGGTTTGAAATCTCAGACGAAACTGTATTATATTTACACACTGAATGGTTTTAATTATATGTCTGGAATTCTGCTACAGTAGCTGCTTCCGTATACTTTTTAAACTTGCAGTTAGTATCAGAGTAGCACAATAATCTTAAGCTAATTCATAGAAGTCAAATGCCTTTTATAGAATGTATTCATTCAGCAGTTCCAGCATCTGAAGAGGATGGAGGCAGGTTTAACAAACCATTTGGTTGTGCACGATCAATGATGTGTGTGTGTGTGTCCATGTTCATGATCTGTCACCCAGAAAGGTACTTTTCAGTGTTCTTGATGCAAATATTTACCAAACTTGACTTTTTTGTATGCCTGCTGCAATTACATATTACAGATGACAGAAGACAGCCATTTTTCTGCCACATTGCTGTTCTCTGAAAGGGATAGTTCACCCAAAAATGAAAATTCTGTCGTCTTATCCGTTTTTCCAAAACTGTATGACTGTTTCGCTGGAATGCAAAATAAATTTGAATAATGCTGGAGCTTTCATGTTTTAATAAAGGACATAAAACATGTGAATTTTCATAAAAGTATACTCCCTATATTCCAAAGTTTCTAAAGTCATTTGGTAGTTTTGGGTAAGAAACTGCAATTTAAGTCAATAGTAGTTAATAATCTTCCTTTTCAGTCAACAGTTTTTCAGTGAAACATTTGAACTCGGAACCAAGTCAATCTGATTCATGGCTGAATTGGATTGATTGATTCATTGTGTCAGAGTAAAAAAAAAAGTTAGATAAGATATCAAATTGAAAGTAAAAGATTTAGAGTGAAATAGTGGCACAAAAACAAGAAAATTGTTCTTACTTATGTCAACATGTTGTTGCTGACACTTGGGAATATTGTTAGGCATGCCTGACAAGCTGTTGCTTCGGGAACTTTTTTTAGGGTAGCCAGAAGGTACCAAAGGTTTCCTTTCAACATCTACATTAAAAGAGAAAACATTAAGATGCCTTTAACAATTTCAATGAAAAGCAGTGACAAGAGATCTGAAAAACAACATTAGGGAAGTGATCACAACACTGAGACATTTATTTGTGGACATTTAAGTGTGTAGTATAGTAGCACCAAAGAGACGTCAAACTTGCAGTGCATCATTGGAACACCCTCACCCAAACAATCTCGGATCTCAAGATATCAGTATTTCAGCCCAGACAACAATCTCTCAAAAACAATTCAAACTGAACTCACCTGAACTGCTGATTAGATCTGGAGGCATTGAATTCTGATGAGGCAAATATCGCCCTGCTAAAACAAAATACCACCATCAGAATGATCCAGTAATAAACAATATTTTTATTATTATTAATTAAAATTATATATTATATATATATATATATATATATTATATAATTTATATAATTATAGTTAATATTAATATCAAACCAGACATAATTAACAGACGTATACTTAAACTGAACCTTACTGTAAAGTGTTAACAGAACATAACAAATGACACAGTATCATTTCATAGAGGAAATTTATATATTTGTATATTTGCATTTGAAACTTTGGGATCGATACGATTTTTTATGTATTTGAAAAAAGCCTCTTTCACTCAGGCTGCATTTATTTAATCAAAACACAGCAAAAACAGCAGTGCTATTACGAAACTACTGTGAAATACTGTTACAATTTTAAATAAAGTGTTTTCTATTTTCATGCATTTAAAATGTACTCCTGTGATGGCAAAGCTGAATTTCCAGCATGATTACTCTAGTCTTCAGTGTCACATGATCCTTCAGAAATCACTCAAATATGCTGATTTGGTGCACAAGAAACATTTCTTATTATCAGTGTTGTTAGAACGTGTTTAATATTTTTGTGGAAACAGTGTGTTTTTTTTTCTTCAGTGAATAGAAAGTTCAAAAGAACAGCATTTATTTAAAACAGAACTATTTTACAACTTTGCTGTCCAAATCTTTGACCGATTTAATGTCTAATGTGTGAATAAAAGTATTAATTTTTTTTCCATTACAAAAACCTTACCAACCCTAAACTTTTAAATGGAAATGTATATTGTGCTTTGTATATATTATTATGTATTTAATTAGAAATATAGGACATTATCTGTTGGTGTTACCTGGAAGACGTGGCAGGACAGGAGGTGGAGAACATGCTGCATGATCCACCTCATACTCTCCAGCATCTGCAAAACACAAACATACAGTAATCGAGGATCAACAACATGCATTAGAAACACAATTTAAAACAACTAATCAAAGTAAATCATCTGCAAAACTCTCAATTTACAGATATTCTAAAGTGTGTATAAGGACTCACTTGAGACATTGATGTAGGTGTTTGGCTCGGAACTGGATCTTTGATTGTTTGGGACTGATCATGCAAATCAAAAGAGTTACACTACATTTCATGTCTTCTAAGTGTAGAGCTGTCAGCTTAAGTTAGACACTCATTAAACTCAATGCAATACGTTTATAATGATAGAGAAGTTCATTAGATGTATTTGTGCTTGAAGATGATTTAAAGATGTATTACCTGGTTTTGGGGGTGGCACTGGAGGAGTAGGTGAAGGGACTTTGGGACATTGCACAATTGTCTCACCATTTTCATTATTAGTCTCAGCAAATGCTAAAAAAGAAAAAAAAAATATGAATAGTATATATCAGATCTATTAAACTGGCCCACATGATGTTGCCAATTGCTTCTCTTAAGACTGCTTACCTTGCATTGAAATAATAAAAATAATTTTATTTATGTTATATTCTATTACTTGCTGTAAATCTCTAATGTCTGTCATGCTCTGTGGAGAATGTGCGTCTCAATCGTCTAACTTTAAAGGGGTCATATGATGCTGCTAAAAAGAACATTATTTTGTGTATTTGGTGTAATGAAATGCGTTTATGCGGTTTAAGGTTAAAAAACACATTATTTTCCACATACTGTACATTATTGTTTCTCCTCTATGCCCCGCCTTTCTGAAACGCGTAGATTTTTACAAAGCTCATCGGTCTGAAAAGCAAGGTGTGCTCTGATTGGCCAGCTATCCAGTGCGTTGTGATTGGCCGAATTCCTCAAGCGTGTGACGGAAATGTTACGTACCCTTACCATATTGTGATGCCTGCGGCAACCACATGTGACGCTGGACTCCGCTTCGTCCACGGTGAAAGTCGATCCGGCGATCGACAAACAATACCAGCATTCATTAAATTGGAAAAAGAGAGAAACAAATCCACCAGTTTAAACAATAATGGAATGAGTATTAGATCACGCTATCAAACATACTGCATCTCAACCAACGTGTTTTGTTATGCAAAAGAGACCACATTCATAGTGAAAAAGCTGTTTCAGCTCTGGCATCAGTCTAATTTACTTCTAAGAGCAGAGCTGTCAGTTTAAATTAACGGAGTGTCTATTTACACTAAGTGCAAATAGCCCGCCTTCTTGGCAGAGGCTATTTACACTAACTCTGCCAACCAACGTCTGATTGGGATAGTCAAGACCATAGACTGTGGTCAAGACTGAGAAAAAACGCTCATCGCACACCAGTTTCAATAGCTAGCTGTTGAGGCGCGTGCTTTTTGACGCAATCGACCCGAGTTCGAACCCACCTTTTGCCGAACTTTTTTTCTCCCTTTTCAAATCTCATATCGCATCGGAAAGGCATTTATTTTCAATAAAAATTAAGGAAATTATCAAAAAGTTGAAAATAAAGTATCGTGTAGTGTTAGGGTAGGTGTGGGGAGGGCTTTATTGTCCCCGTAAGGTTATTTATATAATCCATTTAATAATTTTAATTAAAATGATAATTTACACTCAATACATTATTATTGCGTACTGTTTTATAATCTACTACAATACTGAGGTGCAGATAATTGCTACCATTTGCAATAAGTAGTATAAATAGCAGAGAAGCTTGCTGTTTTAACAGTGTAAATAGAATTTATAGCGATTTGCAATTAGTGTAAATAGCATATCGTTAAAAATACTGCTATTTTCACTTAGTGTAAATAGCATCTATCGCTAAGAAAATATGCTATTTGCACTTAGTGTAAATAGAATCTAATTGCTATTTACACAGTGCAAATAGCCGCTGCCTTTAATTAAAGTCAATACAATATGTTCAAAATTGTATATAAGTTCATTAACAGTATGTATTTGCGCATTAAGATGATTGAAGATGCATTACCTGGTTTTGGGGGTGGCACTGGAGGAGTAGGCGAAGGGACTTTGGGACAATGCAGACTTTTCTCGCCATTCTCATTATCAGTCTCAGCAAATGCTGAGAGGAAAAAATAAAAATAGTATAAATTTGGCCTATTAAACCTATATTAAACTATATAAACATAATTATTTGCTGCAAAACTCTGGCTGTCCTGCTCTGTGGGGAACGTGTGTCTCAACAGTCAAATATTCAACTTTAAATCAATACAAACAAACAATACCAGCATTCATTAAGTCAGAAAAAGAGAGAACCAAAACTACGAGTTTCGTCTAGAATGGAATGACAAGTATTATTACACGCTACTGAACAAACTAGTTCTCAACCAGTGTGTTCATGCAAACCATATTCATAATGAAAGAGCACTGTTTCAGCTCTGGCAATTTTACAAGAACTTTTTGAATTTATTTTGTAAATGATTTTCTCAAATTTACTGTCTTGTATGAAAGTTAATGAAAGCTTGAAACATTTATGTTTTATGGAGTGAAGGAATATGCTTAGTAAAAAAAACACAACTGCCTTTATACATGAATAAAACTTAAGCCATAAAAAAGGCACAGTCAATGTGCCTCGTCTGAACAAACGCAGCGTTATTTGATAACTAGTTATTTAATAGTTGTAGTGTAAATGCATATGAGGAGACATCCTCTAAATATTTTACCTTCATATTTCTAGTGATGTCTTTAGAATTTCACTTTAGCAAAGTGGGTTTACTTGGCAAATAGGCCTCGATAAAATTCTAAATATATCAATAATATTTAAAATCCTCAAACTTTGTTACATGAAAAAATGGGGGGAAATTTAAAATTTTCACAAATTTTTGAACAGATTTTAGACCTCATTATACACTTCAAGTGTTTTTCAGAAGCACAACTAACCTTTGAAACTGAGAGCATGAAGCCTTTCCACAGTTCTCGAGCCTCAAGGCTGGGGGCCTGAGAAAACAGAGGAAAAAGCATCATGGGTAACTGTGTGCATTATCAGATTTCAATAACTCGGGGGTTAAACAGCTGTAAGTGTACTGCAGTGAAATCAAAGTCAAGATTATTTTTTAGAGTTCGTTTTACATAAAAGGATCAGAGACGGGAGAAGTCCTTACAATCATTTTGATATCTTCATTTTTCATGTGCAGAGTGAATCTAGCAGCGTCCAGGTTTCGGTCGCGACAGCAGTCATCTGATACAGAGACGAGATCAGAGAGCTCCAGCTTCTCTATATACTGTATTCACAAGCACAAGCAAACAGTTGATGCATTAATAATCGGTATATAGACAAACATATACAGTACAGAATCAAACAGCTTTCAGGCCTGCAAGCTTGCATTTGAATACCTTTATGCAAATCTACATGTTAGAAAATGCACACACACATTGAAATTATTTTCTAGCAGCTATGTTGTAAGATTACATTGAAAAGGCAGCTTGTAAAAATCACTTACAACACTGTCTTTGGTGCTATTGTAGAAAAAGAGTGAATTGCCACATAAACTGGTCCAGAGTTTACGACCCATCTGTGCAAAGAAAAATAAATGTTTATTGAAAATAAATAAATTTTCTGAAAATAATAATAATAATAATAATAATGAATAACTACTGAAAATATCCCATATTGTGTAGATATATAGTGTTTTCACAAACTGCATTTTTTTTTAAAGAATTACAAGCATAAAGAATACAATGGAAAATTATTTTCTTCATAATAAACACTTCAAAAACAAGACTTGACCCAGAGGCATGGTTGTTTTATAGTAATTTTAACCAGTTGACATGAAATTAAATGATCTTATATTAGTTATGATCCTAAACTATCAGGAATGTGTATGGTCAAATTAAAGCATAAGTCACAATGCAAAATATTTACCCTCCAATGAACAAATAAAAGCGCAAATGTTCACAAATGGGTTAGTGGTGATGACCTCTACCAGCTGGATGTAAGCTAAGACCTGATATATTAAATGAAAGAAAATCTTAACTAAAAACATATTCAACAAATGCAAATCTTTTATCGGTAGTGTTGGATCTGCAGACAAATATGTCACCAGACCATTTTTTTTGTTGACATTTTCACATTTGTAGGAAAAGAGTTTCCATGTTGCGACAGACCCTTGCGTAACACTGCTTTGATGGCCACAGGAAACCTCTCCTGTTTTCTTCAGGATCACTGGTCACATCTTTATTGTCTTTACTATTTACTTGCATTGAAATGTAAAGCATTTCATAGAACATAGTGTCTGGTCATATCTTTATATTTGGTGTATTTACTATTTACTCACACTGAAATGTAAAGCATTTCACAGAACATGCTGTGTTAATGCTAAAAATGCACATTTCCAACAAAGGGCAGGGGGTCGCATTATGGGTTAAAAAAAAAATCAAACAATATGTGTCATTGCAATTTAGGATGCATATTTCCAAGTACAACAGAAAACTATATATATATATATATATACATATATAAAAATATAAATAATTTTCAATATTTAAGAAGTTAAAGACACCAAATATTATATGTTGAAGATTAACCATGAAAGAATTCAAATGACTGTTGATTGTGCCATTTAGAGAGGGATAATCCTACAGAAAAACTGATAAATGCGGATTAAAAATTTACAGTAACACAAGTAATGTGTGACATAGTAGAAGATTACAACAATGGTTATGATAAGATGGTTCACACTGCTAAACTCTAACTGAAGCACAGTAAATTGCATAACTAGCGGAGCTCATTCTTTTTATGCAAACCAGTGACTTATTTCAAATTAAGTGGTAACATCTAATGAAAAATGGCAAAATGGGTTACACAAATTGATTAAACTTAAGCCTCCGATCATGTATCGTTTCGAAAGGAAAAGGCTTTTTACTTTTTGCACTTGTATAACAACCCAAACCATTTAAACTATACACATGATGAAGATACAGGTACAGGTGTAGAAGAAAATAACCCTGCTGACAACATTTTAAACCCTAAACTGGATCCAGGTTTTTGGGGTACACCTTAGATAATCCAGCTGGAATTCCTCTTTAGGATCGTACGTGTAGGCTACATAAACACACTGACTCACCTTGTCTTTGATTGATTTCTTTTCCAGAAAGCCCTCGTAATAGCATGATGGCAGTTGAGATCTCACTCGTTTAAAGCGATTTGCTGCAGCCATAAGTTACACTCCCGTCAACGGCAAACTTCTTATAAAACCGTTCAAGTGTTTGAAAGAAGACGCTTCAATGTCCACCTGCGCGTTTCATGCGTTATTAAACGTTCAAATAGCCTACATAATAGAGTTCACGTGCTAAAGCTTTATAAAAAGTTGGTGATGAAGAGAAAGCTTGTGGACTAGAGGTAACACGGCCGTCGTCAAATGCCTATTTGAAGAGGTCTACGTGCTGTCATGCTCCTCCCCCACTCCTTACCTGTACACAGGTGAGTCAGGTGCTCTCGAGGGTTGCCGGAAGGCACAAAAGTCCCGCCTATTGTGAGGAACCATAAAGCTGACAGCAGCACACAAATATCCACCCCTTGGTCATGTAGACGTAAGCATATGGGGAAATACTCCTTTGAAAGTAACGCCCATTTCCAAAACGCTTCCGATAAATGGACGCTTTGAAAACAACAAATTGTAATTCTTTCAATTGTAACTGTTACAGAAACTCAAGGGGTTTCGCAATCTGGGGTTATCCCAAGACTTCTCATACATATTTACAGCACTCACCCTGTATCTGAAAATGTTGTTTAAATGCTTAAAGCATTTAAACAACATTTTCAGCATTTAAACAACATGCTTTAAATATACATTTTTGTACTTACTAATACACATCTTTACCAGATGTATTATATTGGGTGTGTGTATATATATATACACACACACACACACACACACACACACACACACACACACAATTCTGTTGTAAATCTGGTAAAGATGTGCATTAGTATGTACAACAATTTACATTTGTAAATTTATAAAATGTATTATAATGTTTAATGGTATTATTCACTTTATTTATAATATAGTAATAACACAAAACACACCCACACATACAATTTTATATAATAGTATTTTGCGCATGTGTGTGTGTGTGTAAAATAGAAACAAATAGGCTATATTTTATATATTTACAATTAATTTGTATATCACTGTTTTTCTCTCTCTCTCTCTCTCTCACACACACACACACACACACACACATATATATATATATATATATATATATATATACCCATATAATCAGTTACTGCTGGCTTCTTCTTTAGACGGTCTTGTCCATTATTTACATAATTGATGCAACAATCATGACATCTGAAACACAATGTTTTTCCTTAAAGAAGCTACAAAAATGACAAAAGTAGGTCAAATATAAGTCACTGTACAGTAATGTATGTAGATTACCATTAGATTCGCAGAGGTTGTTCTGGAAAACCTGATACATGTCATTAAGGGGTTATGATAATATTGTTTGAAATAAATATAGTATGTGTTTAGCGTGTCTGAAGCAGTTTGAGGTTTGATTTAGGATAGCATATTTTAAACAGATTTTTTTTCTTTTATCTTAAAGAGGTCATATGATGCTGCTAAAAAGAACATTATTTTGTGTAATGAAATGTGTTTATGCGGTTTAAGGTAAAAAAAAAAACCACATTATTTTCAACATACTTTACATTATTGTTTCTCCTCTATGCCCCGCCTTTCTGAAACGCGTCGATTTTTACAAAGCTCATCGGTCTGAAAAAGCGAGGTGTGCTCTGATTGACCAGCTATCCAGTGCGTTATGATTGGCCGAATACCTCAAGCGTGTGACGGAAATGTTATGCCTCTTTCCATATTGTGATGCCCTGTCCGGCCGGAGCGTAACATAAAACCATGTCTGCATTTGTGATCGGAGAAATGACAAACAACAAGTGCTACTCTACACTGCCCAAAAAACTCGCTTTTGAATCGCCACACAGTGACATAGACATGTGGGGGGCGTGTTAGAACGAGCGGTTTTAGGTAGGCGTGGTTGACTCTTAACTTTTATAAAGAATATCTCTTTGGATTTGAGACTTTAGTCTTTGCAACTTTAGAGATCTTCTTTATGCACCAAGAGCTTGTAACACTCCAAAGAGAAAGGAAAAAATGTAATCGCATCATATGACCCCTTTAAACATTTCAGGTTTGGTGGGCTATTGCCATAGCAATAGCCAACAATATATTGTATGGGTCAAGATTATAGGTTATATATGAAATATAGATCTTTTATGCCAAAAACCATTAGGATATTAAGTAAAGTTCATGTTCCATGAAGATATTTTGTAAATTTCCTACCATAAATATATATTTGATATATTTATATATATTAGCAATGTAATATGTATATTTAGTACATATTACATTGCTAAGAACTTCATTTGGACCGCTTTAAAGGCGATTTTTTTTTTGCACCCTCAATTCCAGATATTAAAATAGTTGCATCTCAGCCAAATATGGTCTTATCCTAACAAACCATACATCAATGAAAAGCTTATTTATTCAGCTTTCAGATAATGTATACATCTCAATTTAAAAAAATGTACCCTTATGACTGGTTTTGTGGTCCAGGGTCACATTTGTTGACAGTTCAGTTTTTCTGTATGCGCTGGAATAATACGTCGTTCTTTGATGACATCTAGCGGTGAGAATAACACACTGCGTTCCATTCATTACCGTAAATCCTATATTATTTACGCATAATCCCCCCCAAACAAACCATCTGTCCACTGCTGGGTCCCAGTCGACTGCTCATTTGACCGTGGTCCAGGGCCATTAGAAACTGTATCTAAACTGATATGAACAGAAAAATGGCAAACAATGGCTGCCAATTTCCGTGTAATATTTCCGCGAGTAATGCTTCCGTTGTAACAGCAATGCAAAACACATCCACCCCCCGCGCTGGAGACTACCACCACAAACACCGCTAATTTATAAAGGGGAGTAAATGACAAGGACGGGTAGGAGGGAGAAAGGGGAGGGGTATTGACATTAAAGAAACACTACACAAGGAAACTAGACTGCAGACGCACACACGCCTTCATTTTATGTTTTTGAATAACAGCCTGGTGGCGAGTGTCCGCACAGAAGTGTTACATTAACAACGCTGAACTGAACTGAAGTGGCGGAATAAAGACATCGCATCAGTCTGTGGAGCAGTCTCAGGGCAAAGCGTTTCCAACGATTATCGCGAAATGGGTGAGAATAAAGAAATTAGTGATTTTTTAATAAGCGGTTGAAATTAATAATTACTAGGCCGCGGGGTTGCGGAGAGGAGCGAGAACAAAACACAGTAAGGACGAACCGTTTCTCGACACATTATCAGAACCGTTTTGTTTCAATTTCCGAAAAAAGCTTATCAGATGGAGATGGAGATGGCAGCGGACGCTCGCTGATTCCCTGATGTTTACCTTTTTGTCCCACAATAAAATACATATTTCCCCACATACGAGTCTAGAGTCCCGAGTAAAGACTTTGTTTAAAGGACATTATAATTTTACGATGTACAAGTTTGTGAGATTGCATTTGAAAACTTGATCTAAAGACCGAAAACTGTCAAATGTAACTAAATTCAATTTTCCATTCAACCAATGTGAATTTTTCTTTTAATTCCTTGAATAAAAGAATAGATGTCTATTCTCTTTGCAAGGATTTAGATATGACTTCACCTCATTAATATTAAAATTGCATTATAAATATGCATGATGTATTCTTGCCTGAATTAATTCAGTATTTCTGTCTGTTCATTGTCTTCAGGCTCTGAGCCACCCTCATCTCCTCAGGTGGTCGAGGAAGGAGCGGATGAAGAGGATGAGGAGTTGAGCGGGGCCGAAGATGCAGACCTTAGGGCCTCCTCTGGGAGGGGCTCCCTCCTGACCAGGAGAGGCATCACACTGAGAGTCCTCTTAAAGGACGGGCTTGTGGAGCCTGGAGATGGCATTCTGTCCATACACTACCTGGTACTGTCCAGAAATTACATCATTAGGGCTATTACCACTTAGTTCACCAATTAATGAAAATCTGGTCACCCAAAGCTAGTAAAAAATGGGCCAAGAGAGTGGAGGGGGGTCTGTATAAATGTTTTTACAGAAAAAATAGTGTAGAAAAGTAGAAAAAATTAAATTAAAATAAAGATGTTTTGAAATAAACCGATTTACATAAAAAAAACATTACATTAACATTACATTGACTCTGTCTGTCTCTCCACAGGGTAAAACGTTTGTTGGAGATCTTTTGAATGATGGGAAGATTCGTTGGGTGGAGACTGGGCAGATCTTTAACTCTCCAAGCGCTTGGGCAACACACTGCAAGCGTCTGGTGAACCCGGCCAAGAAGTCTGGCTGTGGCTGGGCCTCGGTGCGCTACCGGGGACAGAAACTGGTCCAGTACAAAACCACCTGGCTACACAAATACCAGCCCAGTGCCGACATGGTGAGCAATGGAGGAAAAATGACTTAAGGTTCTTGCACACTGAGACCGAAATGTTCATATGCGTCATCATTTCCTATCAGAATGCTTGCTACAGATGAGAAAACGCAGAAAATCTAACCTGATCCAAAAAAATTTTATGACGGACGGAAGTTTCGGAGGCAGTGTGTAAACGTAATTTACACAACGTGAAGTCGTATTTTTTAATTTGCGAAAATATCGGACGAGAATTTCGTACTCGGCGTGCAAAGACCTTTAGTCAAAAGAAAAGAAAGATGTTGCAAAATGTAAATAATAGTAACCAAGAACATAAAAGGTTATAAATCAGTTACAATAAATATAAACAATCACAGTGCAGCCAGCAGTTGGTGTATGATTTGATTTGTTTACCTCAGAGTCTGATAAGTGAAGGAGAGGATGATGAGATGGGAGATGATGACGAAGAGGAAGGGAAAACGACCATGCTAGTAGAGGACAAGAATAAAAAGTCCAAACCTGAGCTGCACGGTATGTCATCATCTACATAAACATGGAAACATCTCCACTCTTCACAATCACCTAGACTCTTCATATCAAAACAGGACACCTGAGAAGGCATGACTTGGCCTGTTTATATATGTTATTTCCTCTTTGTTGTTTTTTTTCTCTCCAGACATTAGCCTGGTGCAGAGGAGAGACAGAGAAAGAATTCCAGTCAGGTATTGCACTCTTGGCACTAGAGATGCTGCAAGGTAATTATTACGTTACAAATATAATGTTTCTTTTTTATACGACAGTTTTAGAGTTTTAAACAACATTTATTGCACCTTCTTTTACCTGCCTGAGGCCCTTAAGCCTAATTGTTCGGTTCTGAGTTGAGGCAGAAAAACACTGATGGAAACAGAAAGCCCTGTTTTTAACATTGATAACAACACAAAATGGTTTTTGAGCACCAAATCAGCATATTAGAATGATTTCTGGAGGATCATGTGACATTGAAGAATGGAGTAATAGCATGTTAAAAATTCAGCTGTGCCACCACATAAATAAATTACATTTTAAATATAAATGAAACAGAAAAGTCATTTTATTCTTCTAAAACAATGTGTACCTGAGTATTCCTGTGTTTGTCTTGACAGGGATCCTCACACTCTCGTTGAACTGTCTGCCTTTTCTGCGATCAACCGCTTCCAGCCTTTTAATGTAGCAGTGTCCAGCAATGTTCTGCTGCTAATGGTATGAAGTGCTCATGAATTTATGATTTTACAATAAAGAGTAAAGTCAATACTGATGATAGAGTGTCAACAGTTGAAGCCAGTATAAACCTTTTTACTCTCCTCTATTCATAGGATTTTCACTGTCACCTGACCACAAGTGAGGTGGTGGGGTATTTAGGGGGCCGATGGGACACTAACACCCAGTGTAAGGGTGATCATTTTTTTAACTGCTGTACAAACTTTGGAGGTTATAAACACTCAATGTATATTTCATGTTCCTCAGTGCTTACAGTCTTGAGGGCGTTCCCTTGCCGTACACGGCTGGCAGATAAAGACGCCGCTCCAGCAGTTGAAGAAGAGGTTAATCTGCAAAAAAACATTTTGTTAGTGAAGTAACATAGTCTGAGCAGTTTACCTTATTAAAACGGTGTTGCAGATTTGCCAAAATCTCTTCATGCGGGGGCTGTCATTGGTGGGATGGTATCACAGTCACCCACGAGGCCCCGCCCTTCCGTCTCTGCAGGACATAGATTCACAGATGGATCACCAGCTCCGCCTACAAGGCAGCAGTAATGGCTTCCAGCCCTGTCTGGGGATTATCTGTGGTGCGTGATGGATTTCCCAGATGATTATTACGCAACACAGCCTGTATTTTATTGAAAGATCTGTTATGTCTTTTCTTTTCATTGTCCACCAATTATAGGACCCTATTACCATGGCAACCAAGGTGTGGCCTCCACCATCACGCCATTCTGGGTAGTTCCCCCTCCTGAGGTAACTGTTCTTAAACATTTACTGACATTTTTTTTGTTGTTGATGCCAAAATATTAGCTTGCTCTTATTTTCTTCTTCCGCTTAGCAACGACCCAATGATTACGGCATCCCAGTGGCGGTAGAGGTCACATACGTGCAAGACAACTTCCTCACTACAGATGTACTCAATGAGATGGTACGATAATAACTAACATCCTAAATTTATGCAACAATGTCCATTTTGGGAAAGCAGGGATTTCAATCTCTTCTATAGTTCAGCATGGTTCAGAAATAATAGCTTTTGAAGCAAATCACTGGTTGTCACTTCAGTTTCCTGCAGCTATAGATAACACCTCAGTCTAGATTAGATTAAAGCGTCTAAATTACATCCTGTAGAATTAATCAGTATGAAGTCTTATGAGAAGCTTAGACCGATATGCGTTTTATTTTTATATCTCTGTGTATAGATGCTGTTGGTGGAGTTTTATCGGTCTGCTCCTGACCTTGTGCAGTTCAGTCAGATGTGGAGTCCTAATTCCTCAGTACTCGACAAAATCAAGGTCTGCTATAATTTCTCTCCTTCATACATACACAAACAAACAAAACAATATACATTTTCATGATTTACAATTAACATTAAGGTAAAGTGTGTAATTCCAATGCCACTATTGTCAACAATGAGGACAGTCCAAAGTCACATTAGAGACAGTATTGCTATGTCAGACTGGTTGATATACAATTTTTTGATAGCATCAATTTCAAAAATCGATCTGATGTCATTTCAGAAGAACTAAAGCTTTTACTTGACATTTTAGAAAGAAATGATTGCCTTAGTCTGACTGAAATCAAACATTTAAATTGCATATGCACAGACTTAATTATGGAAGCTTCTTTCTGCTGCAGGATAAAAAAATAAAAAGGTAATTGCAATTTCATCTCACAATTCAGACTTTTTTTTTCTTGCAGTTCTAAAAAAAGAAAAAGTCAGAATTGCGAGATATAAATGCAGAATAATGAGATATAAACTCAGAATTGAGAGATATTAACCCGCAATTGCAAAAAAAAAAAAAGGATGAATTTTGAGCTAGTGTAACAATTACCATTTTTATTACATGGCAGAAAAAAAACTGAATTGCAAGATGTAAACTCAGAATTGCAAGAAAAAGAAAGTCAAAATGACTTTTTTTATTTGGAAGTGGAAACGGGCTACCATACTTCAGTTTATACTTTCCAGAAAAATCAACCTGCAAATGTCTTAAAAGTTGTCTCTACCCATTATGCAGAGTTGGTATCTTTAACGATCATCTTGCAGCAAAGCATGACTATATGTCTGACTAGCAGTATTTAAAGAAATTCAAATTTTCTGTCATCCTCAGGCTTCTCTGAGTGGCCACGCACCCAAAGACCAGGCGTACGCACAGATTCTGGAGCATGTGTACAACCAGCTGCGCAGCACTCAGTGACCGGAGCAGTTTACGTCTGTGCATTTGTGTTACGCTGTAGAACTGTTGACTTGGGACCTCCCGCCCTGTGCATTACCGTCTGTGCACTGTTATACTGTATATGAAATGCCTTCATGGAGGATATATCATATATGCTTCCGTTCAAACTGTTGCCTTTAGGACTGTTAGGTCTGTATCACTGGCTGTGGTTTATACGATTCTGCCATATCTGTGCTGTGAAACTTGTCTTCCTCTGTGGTAGAAACGTTTGGTGGGTAGTTAGGAAAGAGAAGAAGCTGGGTAATTGAGTTCTCTCTCTCTCTTTTGGCTAGGATTTATCTGTTTGTGTGGTTAGATTTGTGCCATGTTGACTACACAATATGGGAACAATGCCTTTTACCTGCTGAATACCTTAAAATATACACTGGAACAAATTAAATGTGCCGATTCCGTTTGCTTCTGGCTTCTAACCTCATAACAATGTTTTTCTTACCATACAATTAAAGAAACAGTTCATACTCACACAAGTGAAACAAATGGAGTACTTTCTTGAATTTATTTACTTAAAGACGAGATGACACAATAAGATACAAATATTTAGGGTTTGGGATATTTAAGAATAACAGTATAATGCAGTTAAATCTGAAAGAGGAGACTTTAAAACTACAACATACATCAGTCTGCTATTAAGCTAACATGCAAAAAACATTCATAAAAAAGGTTGAATGGTTTTGTATGCATATATAAAAAAATATAATACTAAAAAGAGCAGTACCAGAATGATTTATTTTCATGTAAATCATTCTGGTAGCCACGTTCAATTAGACAGAAATAACCCATTTGTTGTTTTCTTAAACTTGTAGTGTTGCAAAGGCACATCTGTACACATGCTTGTACATCTGGTCACAGCTCATGTCAAATACCAACAAGCCCTTCGTAAATAAAGAAAAAGGCCAGACAGAAACTACATATTAGCTAGAAAATCATAATTAATATTTTGTTTGGTGTTCTAGATCCATTCTTGCCATCGAAAAGGCACTAAAACCCTTCCTTTCACATTGAAACGGTGATCGTAGCCTGTCTGCTTCAGCACATCTACTACGGTCTGTTACGGTGAGCAAAACAAACCGTGGACAAAACATGTAAACAGATGCTGAGAGGAAAAGGACACATGGGTGCTCTATACAGACAGGACTTGGGAGTCGGGGTGGAGGGTGTGTAGGTCCATGCTTTTATGGAGTGTGACAGAACAGTATTTGAAAAAACATCCTAAAAACTAGGGAACACCGAGTGATGAAGAAACTAGATCTTCAATCACTTTTAAAGCTCTAAAAATACATTGCAAGTGATGGGAGAGAGCAAGAGATGTAGCACCATCCCTTCATTTCTGAAGATGGGAAGATTTTTATTAAAATAGCAAAACATTCGGTGTTAATTAGAATTTAATATGGGGCTTATGAGCCAACATCCACCCTAACCACGCCCACATATACACACCTGAAATAACGGGACACTGCCAGCAGCATCAGATGTAGAGACTACCGTAAACTGACATCAAGAGGAGAAAGAGAGAGGAAGACTATTATTCAGGCTGCCAGAAGAAGAATTATTTGGCTGTGTTTCCTTCAGAAAACAGTGTGTAAATGGTTTGTCTGCTGCCCTTAGTGAGTTAGAAGTTGTAAGGGGGGCACAAAGTGTTTCAAAACGGTTGTAGTGCAGTAAAACCCTCTCTACCTGACTAAACACATCCCTTAGGTGTTTTAGCTCACCTTTACGACATAATCCAAGGTGCAATTCAGCGTCTAATTTCTTGTAAAAATATACATGAAAAAAATATTAGATGACAAATAGCTATAGAAAAAGGTTACATTTATGGAGCGTACAAAAGGACTATTTCCTTTCTACAGGTCTGTGGCTCAAGATTGCTGCACATTGGGACATTGCACACACAGCCCCACAGTGCTCACGTGTTTGTCACAGATACAAGGCAGTTTCTCCTTAATCTGAGGAAGGTCAATGTCGCAGCCTGACCAGCAGGGGCAGCAAGGGGACCAGTCGAGTAAAATGCAACTTCTCACAAACCAACAATTGAGAATTTGTACTGATTAAGAATAGCCTGTCTACTCTTTAAAAACATGATAATTTCACCACAGGGATATCATAGTGTGTAGTCATTTCCTTTTAGTTAATGCAGCACAAAAGTATGAGACATTATTAAAAGACATGGACAATGAAGTGAGTTAGTGTGTCTGAAATGTTAACTTAAGGACCAGGTTATAATAACGTCCATACGTCAGTCAACCGGTCAGTCAGTCAGTCCTGGAATGTGAAAGGTCATCATTTCCCAAAGTTCCCTCCTTCAAAAAATAAATCGATGTGTAAAAGTGCCAGAGTACAGGTATATTTGGATCAACGGCAACAATGTGGTGAGGATGAAGACCAAGATGACTTCAGCTGGCTCCTTTCTCCCTACCTCACTTCCCTCCAGCTTTCTCCTTTTCACTTTTTTTATTGCTCTTTCTCGCTCTCCCCTCTTTTCCTCAACGAAGACCTCTTAGTGTGGCAGAGGAACGATCACCTCCACGTAGTTGAGAGGGAAGAATCCAGATTGGCCACGCAGCATACCTTCATACCAGTTTTCATCGATCTGATTGGTCAGAGTGATGATGTCACCCTCGTGGAAGCCCAATTCACCTTCATTCTCCGGATCGAAGTCATAGAGAGCTTTACAGCACGGCTGCTCCGCTGCTAAAAGGAGAGATGGAGAATGGGATATTAAGGTGGGATTTTGGGAATAAGGGATGTTAGTATACAGTGGAGGAAGTAAAAGCTAAAAAGGAAACATATTGTTGGTTTTATAACAATAATTTAACTATTACATCCTCATGGGTCAAATATCTGACATTCTTGGGAAACAAATAAGACAAGGATTAGAGTCCTAAAGAAATTATTAACTTTAAAATGTCATATATATGTATACACACCCAAACGTAATTGTAGAAAATACAAATTTGACATTTTTTGGGGGAAAAAAATAAACATTTAAAAATATTTTTTTAATATTTTATCATATTTGAAAAAAAAAAAATTGTAGAATTTTAAATGAAATGCACTAAACACTTTTAATACGTAATAGCAGTATTGTTTTTGTTAACTATAATGATTAAAATTGTTTTCAGTAATTGAAAAATTTGAAATAAAATATAAATATCAGATGAAAACATCGACATGACAACCGACTGAAATAGATATGTTTAAGTTGAAATACTAAAATGACTAAAACTAAAATGGAAATTAAAATAAAGCCATATAGAAATGATAGATAGACAATTATAGATACATAATAGACAAAAACACACAATAAAATCACTGAACTATAGTCGTATATAAATGACGATAAAAATAACAGTGTTTCATAGCAGTAAATCAAAATGTTAATCTGTCTGTCAAGCCAGTCATGGAGTGAAATATGTGTTAGTGTTTAACACCGTTTTAATCTCACTACAACCGTTTGGGTTAGGACGAGATGCTCTGTTTTAGTGAGGGGTCGGGTGCCAAAGCCTGGGTCTGTAGTCATGTGACAGAAGACCTCCAGTTTCAGTCTGTAGCAGGGGATCACTCTGTTAGGTGGAGCAGCAATCTGTGCTTGAGGCCAACACACATGCGCACATTTATACACACACACACACACACACACACACACAGATATTCATAAAGTCGCCCTCTCTTACATACGCATCCAGCACACATACCCTGCAACAAGACACACACAACCTGTAGTTTGCTGTTCGTCAGTGCAATGAACTACCATTTAATGAAGAGCTGAACCTTTCATGAACTTTATAAATCACATTTTCACAGCTATAGAAACTCATCTACAGTAGATGTAAATAATCAATGGAAGTGAAATTAAGAGGCATTACATCAAAATTATCATCCCCACCACCAATAGTGGAGTTACAGAAAACAAATTCAACCAACAACTATGGTATATTTGCTTGCCCCTTTGTTTTGGCTGCTATGATGTGCACATTTTTGTAGCTGTTGTGCTGTTGGGTAACTTCCCCCCACATTCTTATTTGGTTCTCCTCCATATAAAAATGCCAGACATGTAACGACATTAAAATTCAAGTTGATTTGATAAGCCCATAATTATTTTATGCCTGATAACTGATAAATGGCCTAATCAATTCTATAATGTCCTGTCTACAAAAAATAAATAAATAAAATAACTAGATATTAAATTAGAAATTTCAAAAGTTACTCGTATACAACATTTTAATGTACAGTTATGTAAAATGGATATTCATTTTGAGATTAGCTAATGATTACATTCAACAGTGTCATTAAATTATCTTTAAATGAGCATTAAATGCATTTTTTAGAGCAATTAAATGTCTACAAATATTGGACATGAAAATGCACAATTAAATATCCAATATCTGGTAAAATATAATGATTATATACCGAACAATGTGCAGTTTTGCACATTCCTACTTTTATTCTTGCACCTTCCCAAACTTTTCCTACACCCCCAACACACAAACTTTCCCATGCAAACACATACAGAGCCACGCACTCTCTGACTCACGCAATCTGGGTTTCCACGTGGATATTCTGCCAAACTGGCGGTATGGCTCTGATGACGTAATGGGAAGAGAACACAGAACAGGGTCACTGGCTGACGATGAGAGCAGCTGACAGCTGTCCATTTGTCTTGCCTATCCCGCCACACGCACAGGCGGTCTCATCACACCCTGCCACCGGGCCGCAACTGCACAAAGCACAATGTGCCTTTCTCTCACAAGCCTCAAGTCCAAGGCATTTCCTCAAATGTAATGAAGATCATATATCCTCATCCAGGAACAGCTAAATTGGTAAAATGGGCATTTTATGACTGTGTTAAGCAGGTAAATTATCTGGTCTTACCTGCATTGCGCATGGGTGGAACAGATGCCGGGGTGAAGCCACCGTTTGACTGTTCGTTGGTGTCTCCAAAGTCAATTACAGGCTTGGGCTTGGGCACATACTCTTTACGAGGACGTGACTGAGCTTCTTTCATCCTGGTTGGTTAAATAAGAGTCATATATTGCTTCTTCGACAGAACAAAGAACAAACACACATGCTTTGCAAATTTCACGTGCCCACATACACACCTGTCTATGAGTTTGTCAGAAAGCTCATCCAGGATCTGAACAGTCTGTTTGTGGTACTGCAGTTGCGACTCAACCAGTGATGACAGCTGGCTCACCTGCTCGATCTGCACAAGAACACACAAACATTAAATATATAAATATGCTCTCATGCACATCTACGCTTATGGTAACACTGGGAAATCACAACAACATTCATAAGCAAATAGCCTAGTTAATGAGTAATTTCTGAGGCCTTGAGTTCACACGAGTCTCACTAGACTGCTATATTTAGACTGGGAGCTCTGCTAGCTGTTCACACTAAAGGTTTACTATGGTTTAAAACTGTACCATACTGTCTTCAGTGTATTACTTTACATCTAGC